GGTGATAGAATGATTCTATAGGGTATCTGATCCTTCAGGTCTCTAATAGGGTGATAGAATGATTCTATAGGGTATCTGGTCCTTCAGGTCTCTAATAGGGTGATAGAATGATTCTATAGTGTATCTGGTCCTTCAGGTCTCTAATAGGGTGATAGAATGATTATATAGGGTATCTGGTCCTTCAGGTCTCTAATAGGGTGATAGAATGATTCTATAGGGTATCTGGTCCTTCAGGTCTCTAATAGGGTGATAGAATGATTCTATAGGGTATCTGGTCCTTCAGGTCTCTAATAGGGTGATAGAATGATTCTATAGGGTATCTGGTCCTTCAGGTCTCTAATAGGGTGATAGAATGATTCTATAGTGTATCTGGTCCTTCAGGTCTCTAATAGGGTGATAGAATGATTCTATAGGGTATCTGGTCCTTCAGGTCTCTAATAGGGCGATAGAATGATTCTATAGGGTATCTGGTCCTTCAGGTCTCTAATAGGGTGATAGAATGATTCTATAGTGTATCTGGTCCTTCAGGTCTCTAATAGGGTGATAGAATGATTCTATGGGGTATCTGGTCCTTCAGGTCTCTAATAGGGCGATAGAATGATTCTATAGGGTATCTGGTCCTTTGGGTCTCTAATAGGGCGATAGAATGATTCTATAGGGTATCTGGTCCTTCAGGTCTCTAATAGGGTGATAGAATGATTCTATAGTGTATCTGGTCCTTCAGGTCTCTAATAGGGTGATAGAATGATTCTATAGGGTATCTGGTCCTTCAGGTCTCTAATAGGGCGATAGAATGATTCTATAGGGTATCTGGTCCTTCGGGTCTCTAATAGGGTGATAGAATGATTCTATAGGGTATCTATTAGCTGTTCTATGAGCCCTAATGCAGCCTGGTTAAAAGCCCTAGAATGAAACCACAGCTGTTTCTTCCTTTTATGGTTTGATCATGAATATTTAGATGAGCTGTGCTCTGATTGGTTGGTTTACAACGAGCCAAGCTGCTGAGCAAAGACTCATCATAGCAACAAGCACTCACTCACTGAAAGCAGCATACCCAGTCAGACCAGCATACCCACAATCAGACCAGCATACCCAGTCAGACCAGCATACCCAGTCAGACCAGCATACCCACAGTCAGACCAGCATACCCAGTCAGACCAGCATACCCACAATCAGACCAGCATACCCAGTCAGACCAGCATACCCAGTCAGACCAGCATACCCACAGTCAGACCAGCATACCCAGTCAGACCAGCATACCCAGTCAGACCAGTATACCCACAGTCAGACCAGCATACTCAGTCAGACCAGCATACCCAGTCAGACCAGCATACCCAGTCAGACCAGCATACCCACAGTCAGACCAGCATACCCAGTCAGACCAGCATACCCAGTCAGACCAGCATACCCACAATCAGACCAGCATACCCAGTCAGACCAGCACACCCAGTCAGATCAGCATACCCAGTCAGATCAGCATACCCAGTCAGACCAGCATACCCAGTCAGACCAGCATACCCAGTCAGACCAACATACCCACAGTCAGACCAGCATACCCAGTCAGACCAGTATACCCAGTCAGATCAGCATACCCAGTCAGACCAGCATACCCAGTCAGACCAGCATACCCACAATCAGACCAGCATACCCAGTCAGACCAGCACACCCAGTCAGATCAGCATACCCAGTCAGATCAGCATACCCAGTCAGACCAGCATACCCAGTCAGACCAGCATACCCAGTCAGACCAACATACCCACAGTCAGACCAGCATACCCAGTCAGACCAGCATACCCAGTCAGACCAGCATACCCAGTCAGACCAGTATACCCACAGTCAGACCAGCATACTCAGTCAGACCAGCATACCCAGTCAGACCAGCATACCCAGTCAGATCAGCATACCCAGTCAGACCAGCATACCCAGTCAGACCAGCATACCCAGTCAGACCAGTATACCCAGTCAGACCAGCACACCCAGTCAGACCAGCATACCCAGTCAGACCAGCATACCCAGTCAGACCAGCATACCCAGTCAGACCAGTATACCCACAGTCAGACCAGCATACTCAGTCAGACCAGCATACCCAGTCAGACCAGCATACCCAGTCAGACCAGCACACCCAGTCAGATCAGCATACCCAGTCAGATCAGCATACCCAGTCAGACCAGCATACCCAGTCAGACCAGCATACCCAGTCAGACCAACATACCCACAGTCAGACCAGCATACCCAGTCAGACCAGCATACCCAGTCAGACCAGCATACCCAGTCAGACCAGTATACCCACAGTCAGACCAGCATACTCAGTCAGACCAGCATACCCAGTCAGACCAGCATACCCAGTCAGACCAGTATACCCACAGTCAGACCAGCATACCCAGTCAGACCAGTATACCCAGTCAGACCAGCATACCCAGTCAGATCAGCATACCCAGTCAGACCAGTATACCCAGTCAGACCAGTATACCCAGTCAGACCAGCATACCCAGTCAGACCAGTATACCCAGTCAGACCAGCATACCCAGTCAGATCAGCATACCCAGTCAGACCAGTATACCAGTATACCCACAGTCAGACCAGCATACCCAGTCAGACCAGTATACCCACAGTCAGACCAGCATACCCAGTCAGACCAGTATACCCAGTCAGACCAGCATACCCAGTCAGACCAGCATACCCAGCATCAATACCCATTTATTCCTTTAGTTTTGTAAGAAAAATACATTTTAAACTACCTCGACAGGCATTTATCCCTTTAGTCATGGAAATAAAAACTATTTCATGACTTAATTTTTGGTGTTTTTAAAGCGTATGGCGATCTGACATCAAAGTCTATTTTTCCTACAAAACTAAAGGGATAAACGCAAATCTGACGTCTAGCTCCTGCGTATTGACTATGGGTATGCTGGTCTGACGGGACAGTGGGTCTGTCGCTGGCCGGGTGGTGGTCTGAGTCGGTGGTCTGCTGCTGCGTGGTGAGCATGACCGCAGGTTTATATCTGATATTCAGAGTGAGGGTCTCAGACCATGAGGTTGCCCAGTGAGGTGGAGAGAGGAGATGGAGAATAAAGGAGATTAGTTTCCTGGAGTTTCCATGAAGCATGCATCTTGTCAGTAACCATGGAAACTGCTAGTAAAAGTTGAGCTATAAACATAAGAGAAAAATAAGCATAATAAAGCCTCTTGCCAATTGAAAATATTGAGCTTTTGCATTTTTTTCAAACATGGTCGACCCGAAGTCATCATTTAGCTCCGTTCCCACTGGCTAATAAAGCTGGTCTAACCACTCGCTGGCGGCTGCGTGGCCCCTGACCCCCTGCGGCTGTGTTTCTGGTGACATCATCATCATGCTGCATTGGCGTTTATGATTTCATGAGTGTGGTAAATGGTAAATGGTAAATTTCCTGTACTTATATAGCGCCTTTATTCAAGTCAGGAGACTTGACCAAAGCGTTTTACTCTACATTCATTCACCCATTCACACTCACACACTGATGGTGGTGAGCTACATTGTAGCCACAGCTGCCCTGGGGCTCACTGACAGAAGCGGGGCTGCCGTACACTGGCGCCACCCTCTGACCACCATCAGTAGACAATGCAGGTGTAGTGTCTTGCCCAAGGACACAACGACACTGAAAGTCGGAGCCGGGGCTTGAACCGTCAATCCTTCGATTTCAGGGCAAACTCCTACATCTGACGCCACTGTCAGAAATCAGGAAAGTAAACAATGGAAGGAATCCTGGTCGTAGTCAATGTGCTTTATAGTTTCTGTCTATTATCTGACTGAATCCCTCTGACCAGAGCTGCTCCACGTTTATCGTGTTTCTGCTTGTAAGACCAATTCACATCACGTCATCTCAGGTCACTTTCCAGTTCACCAGATCATCCAGTCAGATTGATTCAAAGTTTTCTATCTAAGGAAAACCACCTGATTGCATCGACTCATTGACTCTTCAGCAATCCCTCACACTAAGCATGCTTGTAGCGACAGTGGAGAGGAAAAACTCCCTTTGAACAGGAAGAAACCTCCAGCAGAACCAGGCTCAGTGTGAGCGGCCATCTGCTGAGGCCCACTGGGGTTCAAGGAGACAGAAGCAGACATAGAAAAAGAAGCATAGATACAAAAGGCAACTGTCAACCAGCTCCACAGGCTTCATCCAGGTTTTTATGTCTTCAGACATGCCTGTAATCTAAGTAATGGGTTAGCTTCATCTGGATTATAGACAGATATAGCTGGGTATCATCAGCATAACAGTGGAAATTAATCCCATGCTGTCTAATAACTCTACCGATTGGAAGCATGTATAAAGTAAAGAGAATTGGTCCTAGCACTGATCCCTGTGGTACTCCACAGGTAACCTTTGAGCGTGTTGAAGATCTATCATTAACATGAACAAACTGAATTCGATCAGATAGATAAGATTTAAACCAGTCTAGAGCTGTTCCTTTAATTCCAACAGAATATTCAAGTCTTTCTAAAAGAATATTATGGTCAACTGTATCAAATGCAGCACTGAGATCCAACAGGACGAGCACAGATACAAGTCCATTATCTGAGGCCATGAGAATATCATTAGTGACTTTCACCAGAGCTGTTTCAGTGCTATGATGAGCTCTAAAGCCAGACTGAAACTCTTCAAAAAGTTCATTATGGTGGAAGTGATCGCACACTTGTTTGGCAACTACTTTCTCAAGAATTTTGGATAAGAAAGGAAGATTGGATATAGGTCTATAATTGACCAAGTCATCTGGGTCAAGAGACGGTTTCTTAAGCAGAGGTTTAATTCCAGCAACCTTAAAAGAAGTGACTGGCGCGGTGTGTTGATGTCCCTACGCTGCGTTCAATGGTATCATGTAATTTAGAGGGTCAAGCCGGCTCTGGTGTTCCCACAGCCGAGGAGATTTTAACGTGGGTTGTTGCCGAGTCGATTAGCCGCTTGTATCTGATGTGACCAAAGTGAGATGATGACCTGAATATTGCTTGTTTCCATCTGCAGCCCTGAAGAGGTCATTCGACGATGAAAATGCAGACGATCTGATGTCCATCACCTCAGCTTCCTCTGCCTCCACCCCCGTCTCTCCCTCCTCCTCCCATTTCATCCTTAACCACAATAAAGCCATTGTGGAGCAGCGAGGAGGTGGGCAGCCTGACTCCCTCAGATCTTTGAGTTTGGGTCCCAGCCCCCTGCTGAAGAGCCGTGCCGTAGGCAGCAGCTTGTCCTTCAACAGAGGAACCATGAACAGGCCGGTCGTCCCAAACAATAGCTCCTCTGTCACCAGAGCGGCTTCCTTCCAGAGCAGATTAAACCCCAACTTCTGCTCCACGTCGTCTGGACCCGGCAGTGACAACGACAGCCTTTACAGCTCTACCTCCAGCCTAGAGTACTCCAGCGGTGGCGGCTACACCCTCCCAGCCAACCGGCTGACATCGTACCACAGCCCTCCACCTCAGAGGGACTTCTATGGATCCAACTGGCCTCAGCAGCGTGGAGCGAACATGGAAAAGTTCTCCTCCCTGGGCGGTGTTTTTAAGCCTGAGGTAGACCAAGACAGCGAGCTGACGCTGCACGTCACAGAGCCGCATGTCTCCAACCGTGGCACCGTGTCCATTCTGGACTTCCAGCTCACAGAGGAGCTGACACTGGGAATGGCAAAGGACGGTGCAGAAGGCAGGATGTCTCCAGGAATGAAGTATGTTGATGCTAATGCTAACTGGAATGGTCGGCCAAGTGGGTATTCCTCTGAGGAAAGTGGGTCAAAGGAAGTTTACCAGCAGCGCCTGTGGGGCACCAAGAGTCCTCCGACCAAAGCCAAAGAAACTCGACGTCTCAACAAATTTCCCTTGGATCTGGACAGCTTGGTAAGCAGCATCTCACCAACCTCCCCCACGAAGCCGCAGGCGGGACTGATGAGCCCAAAGGCTTCAAACTGTTCCCAGCAGAGCAGCAGTGAGCTTCAGAACTACAACCTCAGCCCCCCATCTACAGCTACCAGCCCTTCAGCCTCCCTCCACAGCCTGGACAGTTCCTCTGAAACATCCGGTCGACTCTACAACCATCCACGCTCACCCATCTCTCCAAGCTCTCCCGTTCCTTCACACCATCCCATCACCGCTGCAGAGAGGAGCTGCTCTCCTGAGAGCCTCCATCAGATGGATCATTACTCAAAATCCCAGGTCGGTCACATGGTCCTTAATCTCCACTTGGGTTCTTCTAGCACCTCTGGATCCAGAGTGGTTGGACCGCTGGCAGATGGTGAATGTGACGGCAACGACAGTGTGGACCTGATCTTACAGAGGATTGCTTCCTTCTCTGTCCCTGGAACGACTGACATCAACACAGGACCTGCCGTCCAAACGCCAAAACCTTCTGCTAGGTCGTCATCCGAGTCGGACGGTCCGACTGAGACCAGAAGCACGACCAGAAGACTGGAGGGGACCAGGAAACACGGAGGTAAGACGGGAAATAAACTGCAAAGCCTTCACTTTGTTTTCAGCTGTTATCTCCTCATGAAGCCAGAGGTGGGAAATGGATGAATACAGGAATCAATCATCAACATTCTGCTCTGTTTTAGGCTCTTTATTTAAAAAAAGGTCGGGGTAAGGTCAAGGTTAGGCCAGACGCTAATATCCACCAACCTATAGCTTTATAAGCCCTGACAGTAACACTAACGAACCATTACTGCTGCATATCTACCCATAACCTGAACCTGATCTCAGATAATAACTGAGTCCTACATGAACTGCGAGGACTGGCAGGATGTCCTCGCTTTGGTCCAAATGGTCGTCAGTGAGGAGGTTGATAAGGAAAGCTCTGTTTCCACCTTGAAGCATTTTCTCTCTGGTTCTTTTCCTAAGCAGAGATATGCTGGTCTCAGAGCAAACTCTGTAAATAATACTTTGTTATGTTTATGTATTAATTAACCAGGAGACCCGACAACAGATTTGAATATTAATTATAATCTGACTCAGACCAGAGAAGTTGCTTAGAGTTACAGACGGCAGCGTGACCAACGGGCTCATTTCAGGTAGTAGTGGCCCCAATAAACAGTTACAGAAGCATTTTATACAACTCCAGTCTGCCACAACATCACATCATCACATCATCATTACCTCATCACATCATCACACCGTCACATCATCACATCATTACATCATCATTATCTCATCACATCATTACATGATCGCATCATTACATCATCATTACCTCATCACATCATCATTACCTCATCACATCATTACATCATCACACCGTCACATCATCACATCATTACATCATCATTATCTCATCACATCATTACATGATCGCATCATTACATCATCATTACCTCATCACATCATCATTACCTCATCACATCATTACATCATTACATCATCACATCATCACACGATCGCATCATTACATCATCATTATCTCATCACATCATTACATGATCGCATCATCACATCATCATTACCTCATCACATCATCACATCATCACACCGTCACATCATCACATCATTACATCATCATTATCTCATCACATCATTACATGATCGCATCATTACATCATCATTACCTCATCACATCATCATTACCTCATCACATCATTACATCATCACATCATCACACGATCGCATCATTACATCATCACATGATCGCATCATCACATCATCACATGATCGCATCATTACATCATCACATCATTACATCACACATGTTTGTGGATAACATCCATGTCTCCAGTCCTATTAAAGTATCACTCTTTGTTCTTGGATCGGGACGCCGCTCTCATTTCATTCCCAAATCGTTGCCACATACAGAATGAAGATGACTTTTTATCCTGACTGTCCCAGTTACATAAACTACTGGGAAAACATTCGTTCAGACACGCAACAGGCAGGTCTTATTAGGGTTTAACAGGCTGACATCATCAGTGAGACTGTTAGAGACTGTTGGCCTCATGGGTAGAGCAGTGAGCTGCGCTCTGAGGAGGTCGCTATTACCCGGATTGATCCCCACAGCGTGCAGTCTGGGTCCCTGAGCAAGACCCTAAACCCCACACTGCTCCCCGGGTGCCGCACAATGGCAGCCCACTGCTCCCCGAGGGGAGGGGTTAAATGCAGAGAGGGAATTTCTCCAGTGAGATCAATGAAGTTCAATTAGTAAGATAATATAATCCTATCATGGTGAAATAGGAGAAATGGTCGTTGCTCTGGTGCCAAAGCAGGAGCTTCCTGATGCTATCAAATGTTTCCAGCTAACCTGATAGCCAGGATGATTCACTGCTGAGGCTACGTTCACACAGCCTGCTCACTAAAGCTCCATGGTGGAAATGGTATGCTCATTCATTCTGCTAAATAAATGCAGCTGCCAGCAGATTATTGTGAACAGGACACCAAAGGGATGACATCACAGAGCAGCACACTGTTAACGGAGGGGATGGTGGTTTAAGCCTAAATAGAATACCAGCAGCGGGATTAATGAGCAGACATAAAAAGGTGGGGCGCCCTCTGCTGGCAGAACCACAGAACCAGCAGAAAGCCTGATGGTTGCCATAGCTACCTAATGGAGCCTGGCTGTGGAAAACGAAATCTTAGCATTGACCTATAATATTAATAAAATAAACATAATAATTCCCAGAAACCCGCATCAGAATATCAAGAAAATTAATGTTTCTATGAAACACAAACCAGTTTTGGGTCAAAACTTTTTTATTTTAATGAATAGAAATGAAATGGATCCAAAGGTTGTATTGTTGATGAGCCCTAAAGTGATCCAGCAGCCCGGCCCGTTTAATGGACCCTGCAGCTCGACTCCAGTCCAACCAACAATCAACTGTTTCATTTTTTGCATTTTTTAGATCTTTAACTTTGCTAATTAGCTCAGCCCCTTTATCTTTACCCATTGTGCACACTTACAGTATTGCATTGTTATTGTAAATAAACACAAACGGTTTTATTTACCAACAAATTGGGCAAAAACAATTTTAAAGAGAAAAATGACGGCAGCAGTAAGTTTTCATAAAAACTTTATATGCAATAAGAGAGCAGAGTCGTGTAACGTGGCTGTGCCCCAGGCAGCAGTGGCAAATAACAGCATCATGGTCACTTTCATAACAAACAATGAAGCTGAATTCGCGCTGCTAGTTGATGTTGTGCTGTAATGTTGTCTGTTAATTCAACAAAAGGTTTGTTTCTCCAAAGTCTCTTAAATGTTGATTTTAAAATAAAAACGTAGCATCGTTTCTCCCTTAATGTCAGCCTGTGAGCTCCTGTCTCCTAACGATGACATCAGCAGCCTTTAAAGTTGTGGAGCAGAATGCAGTTTGTTGTGCAGCTGGTTGGTGGCTGGTTTGAATCCCAGCTCAGTCATTGTGTCCATAAGCAAGGCATCTGATCTGCATGGGTGAAGTGTTGATGGTAGTTCTGGCAGCCTTGCTCCTGTCAGCGTGCCCCACAGCAGCATGGGATTCATTCCACCGCTATGCTGATGATACTCAGCTATATCTGGCTATAAATCCTTACATTAGGAGCTCTAGTTAGTTAAATTTTGACATTTTAGATAAATTTAAACCTGAATTTAAACTTTTAGGCAGTTTTGTTCCAACTCTTTCACAGTGAAAACTCTTTAACTCTTTCAGAAGTTTTCATTCCAGCTCCATCTAATATGGACCAATAGCAACACTGAAAGTTGAATTTATGTCCCTGAAGAAACAGAGTTTCTTTAGTAGGACGTCTGGAAGTGGATGAAATCAGATTTTTTCTGGTGGCTGAAATGATCTGAATTGGGTCTTTGCTGTGAAAAATGTGAGTAAGACAGGTTCAGGGGTGTGAATACTTTGTCAGCATGCGTTGATGGTTTCCTTTAGCTGGTAGTTTGTGTTGAAATGAAACCAATCCTGAAGGAGTCCTGATTACCAGGTTGTGAAACGGTACCTGCTCTTTTCTGCAGTGATTTGTTGTAATTATGAACATTTCATAGATCAATGTTTTTCATCCAAATAATCCGCGGAGGAAACGACCTCCTTCATGTCTCTGTTTGATCCGTTCTAACGAGACCTCAGGATGTTTGCTCAGGACTCTCATCAAGTCCTGATAGAAAACAAAGCAAACTGTGGGTTGGAAGACGCAGCGCTGCAGGGATTTCCAGATGAAAGAGGGATAAAGCAGTCATGTTTAAAGATGGCAGGAAGCAGGTAGATGCACTTTAAATCTAACGTCTCACAGATGATTGTGTCAGGCAGGAAATCCAGGAAAAGAAGCTAGATCCATAAATGAAGGCCTGGAGCCTGAGAACTTCTCCCAAAGCAAACTCAACCAGCCAGCACCCAACTCAACTTTATTTATAAAGACCTTTAGAACATCCCAGGAAACGACCTTCCTTCCCCAACTCTGGTATGGCTGTGATGTCACTGGGTCAGGAATCTAGTTAGGAGGAAGAAATTTAAACAATTAATAACCAGAGTATCAGTAGAACATCTTTCTTCTATGACAAAGAGACAGACAGACAGACACACACACACGCACACACACCCCGTTCCCACTACTACAGGCCCCCCCGCTCCTTACCGATGGCAGCATGTTGGCTCCTCGGATGTCGCTTGAGATTCGCAGTTTTCTTTCCTGCCATTTTAAAGCCGCAGACTCTTTGGTGGCGTCCGTCCTGCGGTGTTCTCCTTCGCGTTGTAACTGAAATGGCGCCATACATCCAGGCGTTGTTTAACAAATCGTACACCGGTATCTGCCATGACTGCGAAGTTGAGCTATGAGTATTAGCCCTCTGCTACTGACTGGGCGGCGCGAGGCGCTGTGGGACAAACAACGCAGAATCTTCTATGAAGTTTAAGAAACATATTATATTAACAATTATAAATTCATTATAAACAATTACATTACTTAATGTCCGTTCGTCCATGGATCGTAAATTTCGTCTGCTCTTACTCTCGTTGACGAAAATAATTTTTTATTTTCGTCATATTTTTATTTTTTGGAAACAATTTTTGTTCTTTATGGTTTCGTCATCGTCACGGGAAACAGAGGAGCTGACGAAATATTTTCATCATCGTCAGGGTTGATGAAATTAACACTGCTGTTAGCAAAGGATTGTGGGAAAGCATACAGCTCCTAATTCAGGACGTTCCTTTGGCAGAGGAGGCTTCCTGCTTCCTCTTCCTCACCGCAGGCTCTGATCATGGACCTGCTGTAGCTGCAGCCCTGACCCATGGACCAGAGTCCAACATTAGGTCCCTGTTTTCCAAGATGGAGACCCAGGCAGGACCGTCCCAGACCAGGCTGAAGGCTGAGTTCAGAGTTTTAGAGTTTTAAGGAGATCCTACATCAGAAAATGCTGCAATAAAGTAAAAAAAAAAGGGATTTATGAAGCAACTTCCTGATGTTAAAATAATAATGAACATAATGAACTAATACATAAATTATAAAAGATTCTTCGTCTAACAAAGTCAATTATAAGCATAGATATGATAAAATATTATCTTTTGAGAAGAAGTATTTCCATAAGCTCCAAAAAGTTCCTGACCTCATGTCACAAAATGGAATAATATACAAACCTAGAAACCTGAAACGATAAAAACCGAGAAGTTTCTCATTTAAAAATCAGAACCCGGGGTTCATGGAGCTTCTCCCAGATGCCTGTCAATAGGCCCCCCTCCCACTAGGAACCAGGAGGAACCATTCATCAGCGGGACGGACTTGCTTGATCAATCAAATCTCTCTCTGATAAACTCTTGTCGTCGGTTTTTTCTGTAACGTGGATGTTGTGTTGGTCGCTCATCCTTAAGGTCAAGAAAGTCTGTTGTTTAAGCACATTCCATGAATGACGGAAACAGGGAACCTCCTTTCTGCCTCTTTTTCAGGCCGCTGGTTTTTCCTTCCTTTTGCTCAGATTAGAAACCTGTTTCCTGTTCGCTTGCTTGGCTCAAGGTTTTTAAATGTGTTTCCTGCAGCAGATAAGATTAGCCCGCCCTCTACGCTCCCAGGATGGACAGTGATAGTAGGAGGCAGGAGGGGGAAATGATGACCCAGTTTAAACTGAAGAACATTCGGAGCAGATTTAGGCCAATAAATAAAACCTGCTTTAACATTAGCGGAGAAAAGGACTCTCACAAACTGTTTATAAAGAAGTTCTCCTGCTAAGATGTTTCAGTAATAATTAAGTGTTCACAGAGTCAACTAATCGCTGCTTCAGGTAAACCCTGAAACATAAAAACAGAGCTTCAGATGGAAAAACAAAAAACTGCTTTAATCATCTTTTAACTGTAAAATAAATCTTATTTCCATTTCTTACCTCTGCTGACATGTTCCAAATCTTTTACTCCTACAACTCAGTGCTGCAGCAGCAATTTTTAGCCCCTTCTAGCCAAGTTTGCCCCTTTAAGCCTGGTTTAGCCCCTTTTAGGCTTTTCTAGCCCCTTCTAGCAAAGTTTAGCCCCTTTAAGCCAAGTTTAGGTCCTTTTAGGCCCTTCTTGCCCCTTCTAGCAAAGTTTAGCCCCTTTAAGCCAAGTTTAGCCCCTTTTAGGTCCTTCTAGTCCCTTCTAGCCAAGTTTAGCGCCTTTAAGCCTGGTTTAGCCCCTTCTAGCCCCTTCTGGCTAGGTTTAGCTCCTTTTGGCCCCTTCTACCCAAGTTTAGCCCCTTTTAGCCCCTTCTAGCCAAGTTTAGCTCCTTTTAGCCAAGTTTAACCCCTTTAAGCCAAGTTTAGCTCCTTTTAGGCCCTTCTAGCCAAATGTAGCTCATTTTAGCCCCTTTTGGCCAAGTTTAGCTCCTTTTAGGCCCTTCTAGCCCCTTCTAGCCAAGTTTAGCCCCTTTTAGCCCATACTAGCCAAGTTTAGCTCCTTTTAGCCTATTCTAGCCAAGTTTAGCTCCTTTTAGCTGCGTTTAGCCCATTCTAGCCAAGTTTAGCCCCTTCTAGTCCCTTCTAGTCAAGTTTAACTCCTTTTAGCCCCTTCTAGCCAAGTTTAGCTCCTGATAGCCCCGTTTAGCCCCTTCTAGCCAAGTTTGCCCCTTTAAGCCTGGTTTAGCCCCTTTTAGGCTTTTCTAGCCCCTTCTAGCAAAGTTAAGCTATTTTTGGCCCCTTCTAGCCAAGTTTAGCCCCTTTAAGCCAAGTTTAGGTCCTTTTAGGCCCTTCTTGCCCCTTCTAGCAAAGTTTAGCCCCTTTAAGCCAAGTTTAGCCCCTTTTAGGCCCTTCTAGCCAAGTTTAGCGCCTTTAAGCCTGGTTTAGCCCCTTCTAGCCCCTTCTGGCTAGGTTTAGCTCCTTTTGGCCCCTTCTACCCAAGTTTAGCCCCTTTTAGCCCCTTCTAGCCAAGTTTAGGTCCTTTTAGCCAAGTTTAACCCCTTTAAGCCAAGTTTAGCTCCTTTTAGGCCCTTCTAGCCAAATGTAGCTCATTTTAGCCCCTTTTGGCCAAGTTTAGCTCCTTTAGGCCCTTCTAGCCCCTTCTAGCCAAGTTTAGCCCCTTTTAGCCCATTCTATCCAAGTTTAGCTCCTTTTAGGCCCTTCTAGCCAAATGTAGCTAATTTTAGCCCCTTTTGGCCAAGTTTAGCTCCTTTAGGCCCTTCTAGCCCCTTCTAGCCAAGTTTAGCCCCTTTTAGCCCATACTAGCCAAGTTTAGCCCCTTTTAGCCCATACTAGCCAAGTTTAGCTCCTTTTAGCCCATTCTAGCCAAGTTTAGCTCCTTTTAGCCGCGTTTAGCCCATTCTAGCCAAGTTTAGCCCCTTCTAGTCCCTTCTAGTCAAGTTTAACTCCTTTTAGCCCCTTCTAGCCAAGTTTAGCTCCTGATAGCCCCGTTTAGCCCATTATAGCTAAGTTTAGCCCCTTTTTAATTCAATTCAACTGGATTTGGCGCTATATAAATAAACTGAATTGAATTCAGTTGAATTCAATTCAGTTTATTTATATTGCGCCAAATTCACAACACATGTCATCTCAGGTCACTTTCCAGTTCACCAGATCATACAGTCAAATTGATACAAAGTTTTCTATCTAAGGAAAACCAGTTGATTGCATCGATTTATTGACTCAAATACAATCCCTCACACTAAGCATGCTTGTAGCGACAGTGGAGAGGAAAAACTCCCTTTGAACAGGAAGAAACCTCCAGGAAACACACAGCCAGGCAGACGAGCTCCGAGCCAGCTCCCATGTCAGAGGATGAAGAGAGCACATCCAGTTAGTCACAGTCAGAGAAACAGGACCACACTGGAAAACAGGCCAAGCTCCAGCATCTAGAAACAAAGGTGTTGATGGCAGCAGCACAGCTGATATTTCTCTCCAGGATGGAGTCACAGCCAAACAGGAACAGACCAGATGAAGCTACTATGAGGAAAAGCAGTCCCTTGTAGCTCCTTTTGGCACCACAGTGAAAATGAAACATTACCGTCCCCATTAGAGGTCACTTTACACCACAGGAAGCTGCAGCTGTCGCTCTAGAAATGATCATCGCCAGCGGCTGGCTCATCTTTAAATGGCTCCACTGTCTGAGAAAATGAGGGCTTGTTTGTGTGTTTATAGGGAGGATTACACTATGTTGTGAGGACCCTCTGCTCCCTGTGTGTTTTTAACTTATTAATGATAGTTTTTTATCTTAAAGGACAGCGAGTGGTGCTTTGCTCCCTTTCAGAGAAACATAAAGAAGGATAATAGATCAGTAACCTAGAAAGGTCACTGCTTAATGGAGAAAAAGGAAAATCAAAGCCCTGGTTGGAAAGACGGTGGAGACATTATGGGAGAAAGAATCACTGGTGGTGTGAGGAACAAGCCTGGAGCTCCTAGAAGCTCTCTGGTGGAGGAAGACCAGGTTATCCTCTCAGTGGAAAACGGATTGTAAATAATCTGCCTGGATGCAACAGCTGAGACGTGTTCCCCGCTGGTGGGGAGGAGACCCTCCATCTGACATCGTTTATTCAGCCAGAGCTTTTCAGGCCTTCAGCAGCTGTTCCACAAACATGGTGGTCTGTTTACAGATGTTTCTGATGAATGAGGCACATTGAATATAAACATGATTTCTTTTCCAGTTTATGTTCAACATGATAGTTTTTCTAACTTATATAACTCTATCCTGTTTGAAACCTTAATGTTTTCAACTTTTAACAGCTGATGTAAAAAAATAACATATGATTTTTTTTAAAGTTTTGAAATGATTTCATTGCAGTAATTTTAGATGTAAATTAAGCTAAATTCAGCCTCCTTCCCGCCCAGGGGACCTTCTCCCTCTGAACCGCCTTGAAACCCGGAATCTGTCCTGTCATGATGGCAGCACTGATGTCTGGTCTGATTACTCATTTCACAGCCATGCTTGGCTTCGCCCGCTTATCTGATCCACCTACATTAGCCTTTATTTAACCAGCCTTCAGACCAGCCATCAGGGCCAGATTATGAGACTTAATCTAGCATACTCTAGTATGTTCTTATTGCCTGATCCTGACCTGTTCTGCCTCTCGACCTCTGACCCTGCCTGTTCCTGTCTGATCTGTTTGCCTGATCTGTCTTCTGACTCCTGCCTGATCTCTGCCTGGTTGAGTACAGACCGGAACAGATACCTAACCCTAACCCTGACAACCCACCACGTCTCCAACATCGGCTTTGGCTTCACCCTCTGGATCGTCCTGCCTACATCTGTCTGCTCGGTTCTGATTTCCTCTCCTCTTACCTGCGGTACACCTGCATCTGGGACTCTGTGGGGAAACCTTCGCGTCACGTTGGCAGCCAGCCGGCAGGAACAATCCTCTGAACTCAGACTGAACTATAAGACCAAGTTAGCGACTCACTAGTTTGTGATTATCCACTTCAGGAAAGACGTGGTCACTAACCTGCTGTCTCCACCTGCAGAGGTTCCAGCCTTAGACGCCGACACTGTCTACCCGATTCTGTTATTAATAAAAGGTTCTGAGAAATCTGATGGTACTGCATCCTTCAGTTCTC